ATGCATGCAAAAACTGGGGCGCAGGCCAGAGATGTGGGGGTGAGAGGATTCACCAGAGACAGAACGGGGAACAGAACAGGCAGCTCTACTGAAATACACTGCTGAGGGGAGCAGCAGGCAAGACAGGAGAGGTCTGCTGCGCCACGTGGGTAGCTCCCTGGCCGGGGATCAAAGTTGTGCTGCAGAGGCTGGGAATTGCTTCATAGGTTGCAACTTAACCCCTCGCACCACCAGCGAGGCCCTTTACAGTGATTCTTATAAGGAAAGTTTGACCCAAACGTATAATAAAATCAGCATCGCAAGGAGACTTTCTGCTTCTCTCTACAATATATACTTTCTTATTTCTGCACTCAAAAAGGAGCCTTGCAATTTGTCAAATGTATCATCCGTCCATATTTTTTAATTTAAAAAAAATCTTTGAATTCATCACTTTTTTCGTGGGTCAAGATAACAGAAGCGGTTTAAATAAACAGCCTCTTCCATCCCTGTCTCCCAGCTCTTTGTCCTCCTCAGCAGGCAGACACCGTCACCAGTTTTCCTGTGTACCTTTGAGAAAGATTCTGTGTCTAAACAAACACATGCATGCATGGAATTTTTTATACAAATGATAACAAAGCATACACAGAGTTTTCCCCCTGCCTTTTTTTTTTTTGGGAGGGGGGGTGTGGATAACTCCATAGGACTATTTAAGGAAACTTCTATTAAATGGATATGCACAGCTATTTATCTGCTGATGAGCATTTAAGTTGTTTCCTATCTTATGTTTTTATGGTACAACGATAACCATGAACTCTTTGTTATTTTACATATCTACACAGGGTACAGCAATAAGTTAAAGTCCTAAAAACGTAATTTGCACTAAAGTCCTGTTTCCTTGGGTGTTTAGACTTTTTGGCCAACTTCATTGAGAATTTCATTTCTAAAATCATTTCAGCAGAATCAGCAACAGTGAATTATTTAGAGAAAACACCTGTAGTAGAGCTACCTCTTTTTTTTTTTAAAGAATTATTCCTTTATTGTAAGGTTTTTACTTATTTTAGCATAGAAGAACTGGGGTGTAAGCCAGAGGTGTGAGAGGGTGAGAGGACTCGCCAGAGACAGAGTGGGGAGCAGAGCAGTCGGATTTACTGAAATACACTGCTACAGGGAGCAGCAGCAGGCAAGACAGAAGAGGTCTGTTGTGTGGGCCATGTGGGTTATCTCCCTAGCCAGGGATTGAACTCAAGACCTTTGCAGTGATAGCACTGAAACTTAACCCCTAGGCCACCAGGGAGACCCTAGAACTACCTTTTTTCCAGACAGATCACATATACTGACAGTACTTGTGTTTATAAAATGAAGTGATTCTGGGCCTCCCCTGGTGGCTCAGCGGTTGAGCACTGGGCTGCAAAGCTGCCCGCAGCCTCTACAGCGCCGGTTTGATCCCCGGCCACTGGCAAGGGTCCCACATGGCGCGCAGACCTCTCCTGCCACCCGCTGCTTCCCTCAGCAGTGTGCTTTGGTCCTTCTGCCTGCTCTGCTCCCCACTCTGGCTCTGGTGGATTCTCTCACCCTCCCGCGCTTCTGACTGTACCCAGTACTTGTATAAATAAATAAATAAATCTTAAAAAAAAAAATGAAGTGATTCTGCTTTTCTTTGAAAACACAGATCTCTCACATGTGGAGATGTTACGTTTTATCCTTGTCAGGTTGTCCTGGCTTCAGAGAGAGATTCGGTGAGATTATGGTTTGTTTTCTCCCTAGTAGTGTGATCAAGAACAAGTGGCTTATTTCCCCCCAGGTTGTTGTATCTCCATAAGGTGTGAATGCAATACCGACCTCAGAAGCACATGAGAAACAGCTGACAAGGGTGTAAGTGACGTGTTTGCAGCCTGCTTTGCAAATTGTACAATAAACAGTAGGTATTAGCCACCCCCCAAAAACACACAAACACACAAACTCTTAGCCTGACCTCAGACCTTGATCTTTTTTAAATGAGCTGAACCCAGTGGAGGAACAGATAGAAAACCTTCCTTTCCTTTCAAACATCATCTCCAGACATGCTGTTGTTCTGTCAAATTCCATCTTGCCCCCGATGTCTTTGTTGGTTGATACCCCACTTTTCTCTTTTTCAGGAAGGAAGCCCAGTCCAATTGAAATCAAAATGTGTTTCTCATGTTCCGTTTCAAGTTAGTCCCCAGGCTGCTCTGGGACCCAAATCCTGCCAAGTGGCAAGGGCAGACGCACCCTGTTTCTGCACACCTTTCTCCCCCTGCTCGCTGCTGCTGCTGCTCACCAGGCGGGAGGGGAAGGCAGGAGGATGCCAGAGGAGGAGCCAAACTCTCTATCAAGCTGGTGCTGTTTATCTTCTCTCGGGCGGACACCAGTGTGTGTTCCACTGCCAGCTTTTCATCCAGTGCCTGTGCTTCCCACCCGGGCCCTCCTATCACACAGCATCTAACATAGCTGCCGGGCTCTGGCTGACCTCTAGCCTGGCTCCCAGTTCCTTCCTGTAGGGTACACCCAGTAACCTGTCACTGCTGGGGCCCCTCCTCTGCAGTGAAGTCCCATCTTTGCAGCTTAAGTGCAGTTCCCTTCAGCAAATCCCCCAATACTGGGGAGAGGGCATCCTGGCACCTGTGCCCCCATGCAGACTGCCCTCTGCGGCCCCTGCCCCCGCAGGCTGCTCTGATCAATCTATCTGGATGTTTCCCACAGATTGGGGTACATTTCAAGCAGGTGTTAATATAGCGGTCAGAGCACAATCTTCTTGGGGTTCCAGTCCCAGCTCAAACACTGCTGTACAGCCCAGACAAATTACCTAACTCCTTTGTGCCTCTGTTTACCCTGTTGTAATACGAGAACGGTATCTTAATTTCACCCCCAGGATTACTGCGGGTTTTTGTTTATACATACAGAACTACCAGAACAATGCCAGGCCTGTAAGTGCTGCAGAGTGTGTAACAAATACACATACATCAATGTTCCCTCCCCACCATGCTCCATCCTGTCTGGGCTCACGGCTGGGGAGGGAGACAGCATTCTCCCCTTCTCTCAAAGTTTGGGTTTCCTGGGACTCCCCTCACTTGGCTTTGTGAGGTGAGGTTTCTCCCTCCCTCCCTCCCACTATGGGACTAATTACAAAGCAGCCACCCCCAATTAGAGGCCCCCTTTCATAGACCCCCGCCCCTCCCTGGGCTCGTAGACACCTGACATTTGTCACACCAACGCTCTGTTTCCTCCCCACACACGCCCACTGATAGACGTCCATTTAAAACAGCACCGCTTGAAAATACTTGCATTTGAAAATAATTGCACAAACATGACACTTCACCCCTAAACACTACAGCGTGGATCTCAGAACGTTAATGTCCTAAGAATATTTCCTAAAATATTTGCCTGCAGAACCAAGATGCTATGTTCACACTGAAGAAAATTAGCTTTAATTTCAGGTCGTCTAATCCCCAGTCCAGGTCCCATTTGTCCTTTGCAGCTTCAAAATGTATTTTTTTTTTAAATCCGAGGTCCAACCAAAGCTCCCATCATACATTTGGTTGTGTCTCTTTATCAGAGTCTACTCAAGAACAGGCCCTTGCCTTTTTTTTTTTTTTTTTTTTTAATGACGTTGACCATTTTGCAGAATCCAAGCTAGTTGTCACATGGAACAGTCCAGAACTGAACAAAGGACAGATTTTCTTCATTCACTTTTATATATCTTACGGTGTCTTAGGGGGGCGGGCTGGGGACTCTGCTCAGAAGGCCAGATCTCCATCATCTCTTGCCACACATGAAGGTCTTGGGCTGGAACGCGCTTCTCCCCTACCTGGCCTCTCCTGTCTGGGTTGTTGGAGGGGTGCCACAGAGTTCCCCCCGGCCAGGAGCAGCGAGCCCCCTCCCCCTGTGAGCCCAGACAGTGGCAGACAGTGGGAAGAAGCCTGGACCAGACCAGAGGCTCAGCGTTTCCACCCCAGACTCTGCCCTGTCCTTGAGAGAAGTCAGCCCCTGATCCTGAACCCCAAAAGGAGCTGGGGATCCTCAAGAGGGACACAACACCTGTCCCCAGAGAACTGCCCCTCAGCCTTGGGGAGTAGGTGGAGCTGAGGGATCATGGCCCAAGGCCAAGGGCTGATCCTTTCAACTTTATTCAGTGACTTTGCTATCAGGTGACCAGGACAGTAGGGCCAATCTCACGGAGGGTGGTGTTTATAAAAGGGCCCTTCTGGAGCCAGCAGCTCTGTGCCAGCCCCCGCTACCCTGGCGATCTCAAGCTGCCTCCCTACAGGTACCTTTCTTGGGAACTTTCTCAGTCCCCAGGATCCCCACCCTATGGCTTGGGCACCACTAGAGATGGAGGGGTGGGGGCCCCTGGATTCTATGATGGAGGCCTGAGTTCTACTCCTGTTGGCTGGCTGCAGACCTCAGTTTCCCCATGTTTTCTGAGCTAGCAACTTAGACCGGGCCGCCTCTAAGGACCCTTAGTGTGTGTGGAATGGCACGGTGGGGAGGGATCCCCCTGGCACGAGGGCAGCCCTGCAACCCAGCCGCAGCCTCCAGGACTGTGAGCATCTGGGGACTCAGACCTTTCTTGGTCTTAATAACGAATGCTCTGGGGAGGGGGATTGAGCCACCGGACAGCCTAAGCTCTCTGCTCCCTGGTTACGAACAGGCAGGCACCCTTTGGCACAGCGCCTAGCATACGCCTTGTGCTGAGAGCTCGTGGGGAGCACCCCTGATTTGAGGCGGTCACTAGTCTTCACTCCAGACTCAGAATTGGAAACTGAGGGAATGGGTGGAGGGGAGGGCCAGCCTGGGGAGTCCAGGCACTCAAATGGGCCTCGCAAGGCGCCTCTGCAGCCCTCAGATTGTGTGAGGCGCTAAGGGTGAGCCTCGCAGGGCCCTTGGATGCGTCTTAGTCTTTCTGGGTCTGGCTGGCAGCCGAGCGTATGCTGGTATTTATCGACGCTGAGAGTGAAGGAACGAATGTTCCATCTCAGCCTTCATTCAGTCTGGCTCCGCTCCTCCCCCTGCAGCCGGTACAGATGGCAGCGCCCCAGTCTGCATCCTTCTCCAGCACGGAGCTGCTCGTGGCCTCCGCTATCTTCTGCCTGGTATTCTGGGTGATCAAGGCCTGGCAGCCTCGGGTCCCCAAAGGCCAGAAGAGTCCCCCAGGGCCCTGGGGCTGGCCCCTGCTCGGGCACGTGCTGACCCTGGGCAAGAACCCCCACTTGGCCCTGTCCCGGCTGAGCCAGCGCTACGGGGACGTGCTGGAGATCCGCATCGGCTGCACGCCCGTGGTGGTGCTCAGTGGTCTGGACACCATCCGGCAGGCCCTGGTGCGGCAGGGCGACGATTTCAAAGGTAGACCTGACCTCTACACCTTCACCTTGGTCACTGACGGCCAGAGCATGACCTTCAACCCAGACTCTGGACCGGTGTGGGCCGCCCGCCGGCGCCTGGCCCAGAATGCCCTCAACACCTTCTCCATCGCCTCGGACCCAGCTTCCTCATCCTCCTGCTACCTGGAGGAGCACGTGAGCAAGGAGGCCGAGGCCCTGATTGGCCGGCTGCAGGAGCTCATGGCCAGCGCCGGGCGCTTTGACCCCTACAACGAGGTGGTGAGGTCGGTGGCCAACGTCATCGGCGCCATGTGCTTCGGGCAGCACTTCCCCCAGAGCAGCGAGGAGATGCTCAGCCTGGTGATGAGCAGCCACGAGTTCGTGGAGACCGCCTCCTCCGGGAACCCGGTGGACTTCTTCCCGGTCCTGCACTACCTGCCCAGCCCCGCCCTGCGCAGGTTCAAAGACTTCAACCAGCGGTTCCTTCGGTTCCTGCAAAAAACAGTCCAGGAGCACTACCGGGACTTCGACAAGGTGAGCCTCCGTGCGGGTGGCGAGGGAGCCCCGCAGGGGGTGGCCCCTCTCACCAGCTCCAAGGCAGCCGCACCGCTGCCCTGCTGCCGAGTCCCCGGGAGCCCCGGACACCACAGGCCAGCTGTCTAACCCGGAGCCAGGCCCTCACCCTCTCTGGCCACAGTTTCTCCACCCCAGGAGCATCCTTCTCGGGGCTGCTCAAAACACCAGAAAGATAAGACCGTGAGGGGCCCTGGCACGGGCTTGCGGTGTGGAGGGCTGCTACGAGCAAGAGGGTTTTTGTTCTGCTGGAAGCTGAGCCCAGACAGAGATTAGCTCCCAGCTCAGGTGTCACCTTGCGTCCTGGTCTCGCACCAGCCCCTTCTGCAAAACTGGAGCCCAGGGTGACCGGGAGAGGGTCAGTGGGCGTGAGTGACACTCCGAGCCCTCTGCAGAGTTGCCACCAGCTCTGCCGGGAGCCCTGCCCACTGCCTTGCGGCCAGGGGTGGTGCCCGGAGGGACAGGGCAAGGGCTAGCCTTTGGCCCTAGAAGTGCAGGGGAGCCCCTAAACTTGTGCCCCCTCAGAACAGCATCCAGGACATCACGGGCGCCCTGTTCAAGCACAGCGAGAAGGGGTCCAGAGTCGACGGCAGCGTCATCCCCCAGCAGAAGATTGTCAACCTTGTCAACGACATCTTCGGGGCCGGTAGGAGCCGGGCCCCGGCCCCTGCACACATCCCCCACAGCCTTCCCAGCACCCGAGTCCACCAGATAAGTCACCAACCACACAGCAAGCGGTGGAGACGCAGGGACCGGGGCCAGGGTTTGGGCCCAGGTGGTGCCACCATCTTCCAGCGGAAACTCCACCAAGTCCTCTCCTCTGGGCTTCAGCTTCCCCGTCTGAACAACAAAGGGACCCTGCTGCGTGAAGTCTAGGCCCCTGTAATTCCAGCAGCTAATTGTGACACCAGTGACTCAATCTCAGGATGAGGAAACCTCGTCTCTGCCCTGAGAAAACCCATGGGATGGGAGGGGGGGAGTTAAGGGAGGGAAGCAGAAAAAGACCGAGCTTGGCTCATGCGGGGTATGTGCTTGGTAAATGCTGGTTTCTTGTTCCTGTCTTGTTCCTTCCTTCCTCCCCCACCCGACCTTGCCCCATGCTGTCCAGGGTTCGACACAATCACAACGGCCATCTCCTGGAGTTTCATGTACCTTGTGACAAATCCTAAGATACAGAGGAAGATCCAGGAGGAGCTGGGTATGTGATGTCCTCCGACCCTTGTCAGAGAGCAGTCTCGGAACCCCTGGTCATCTCTTCAAGGTCATACAATTGTTATGTGCTACTCTGTGCAAGCCCTGTGCGCTCGATGGCACCTGTTCCTGCCAGGAAGTTGCTAGGAGTTAGTGGCTCTCAGACATGTAAGCAGACATAGTACCACATAGAGTGGGCCTTGGTTTAGGAGGGGAAGCAGGGCCTCCCTGGTGGCGTAGGGGTTAAAGACAGAGCTATCAAGATATCACCAGCCACTGCAGCACTAGCTCCATTCCCTGTGATCCCCTGCAATCCCCTGCCAGCGAGGGAGCTACCCCCATGGTGCAGCAGACCTCTCCTGTCTCACCCGCTGCTCCCCTCAGCAGTGTATTTCAGTCAGTCTGCCTGTTCTGTTCCCCACTCTGTCTCTGGTGAATCCTCTCACCCCCCGCACCTCTGGCCTGCTCCCCAGCTTTTGTATGCATAAATAAATCTTAAAAAAAAAAAAAAAACAAGAGGAGAAGCAGATGCCATGGAGCAGTCAAGACAGCCTCTAGCCCTGTCTGTCTTCTGTGACCTGCAGACGCAGTGATTGGCAGGGCGCGGCGGCCCCGGCTCTCTGACAGACCGCAGCTGCCCTACATGGAGGCCTTCATCCTGGAGACCTTCAGGCACTCCTCCTTTGTCCCCTTCACCATCCCCCACAGGTGAGGTCCCCTCTTCTGCCCTCCCACTTCCAAACTCCCTGCAAGGTTTTCACCTCCCAGCTTCCTGGCCCTGGTCTCGGCTCAGACCTTCCATCTCCTTCCTGGCTATGACATCCGATTCCTTTGCTCAGCCCCATGACTAGCCCAGAGTCCAAATGTGATCAAGCTGGTGAAATCTCAGGAGGAAATAGCAATCCTGAGCTCCGCTCATGTTCCCTTCCTGCAGGTGCCCTCAGTCCAGCCAGGTGGTCTCCCTGCCCCTTACAGACATGACCCTCTCAGAATCTTCTCCAGAACCCCTTCCCTGCCCAAGTCAGTCTTGACCCATACATCCTCTCCCTTAGAAACCTTTCTCAATTCACCCCTGGCACTTTGACAATGTCAAGAGAGCTAGTAAACACTTCTCAGTGAACTTACTCACTTTTGCCCATATGTTGGTCTAGCTACTCCCAGACTGAAGGGCCTGACTCCTCGGCCAAACTGGGCCCTCCCCAGGGTTGGCTCAGATTTCTGCTTATTGGTTCCAAAGAACCGGTGCGCGCACATGTTTATAAACACTTGTTGAAGCACAGGAGCCCAGGCAAGGGAAGAATCTTTTCACCCTTCCCTGCTCCTGACATTCCCTCACAGGGCAGGTACAGAGACACAGTGGGCAGGCTATTGGGGTGAGCGGGAGGGAGGAGCAAGAAGGTCCAGAGACAGGCCCCAGTTTTCTAGCCCTGAGGCTAACAGAGCCCTCTTCCCTCCTCAGCACAACAAGGGACACGATTCTGAATGGCTTCTTTATCCCCAAGGAACGCTGTGTCTTCGTAAACCAGTGGCAGGTCAATCATGACCAGTGAGTACACAACCCCACTAAAAATGTGTATTGTTCATCAGTCAGAAGGTTGTTTGCCCCCCTATAATAAAGGAGTGTTGCCTTCTTGTTGTGGAGCCTGCTCTGAGTGACAACATTTAGGTCCATATTTCTCAAATTTTACTGCACGTAGAATTTTTTTTAAAGATTTATTTATTGATGCATACAAGAACTGGAGTACAGGCCAGAGGTATGGAGGGTGAGAGGACGCACCAGAGACAGAGTGGGGAGCAGAATAGGCAGACTGACTGAAGTACACTGTTGAGGGGAGCAGCAGGCAAGTCAGGAGAGGTCTGCTGCGCCATGTGGGTTGCTCCCTGGCCGGCCGGGAATTGAACTCGTGCTGCAGAGGCTGCGGACAGCTTCATAGGCTGTGTCTTAACCCCTTGCGCCACCAGGGAGGCCCCTAGTGCACACAGAATTGACCAAGAAGTTGGTTATAGGTCATCTTCCAAGATTCCACTTGTAGGCAGGTAAGGTGGAGTGCTTCAGGTGGTTCTGATGCAAATAGCCAAGGGCCTTCCCTTTAGAAATTCAACTTTGGGGGCCTCCCCAGTGGTTCAGCGGTTGAGCGCTGGGTTGCGAAGCTGCCCGTGGCCTCTGCGGCACCGGTTCGATCCCCGGCTGCTCCCTGGCCATGGGAGGAGGGTCCCGCATGGCGCGCAGACCTCTCCTGCCGCCCGCTGCTCCCCTCAGCAGTGTACTTCGGTCCTTCTGCCTGCTCTGCTCCCTGCTCTGGCTCTGGTGAATCCTCTCACCCTCCCGCGCTTCTGACTGTACCCAGTGCTTGTATAAATAAATAAATAAATCTTTAAAAAAAAAAAAAAAAGAAAGAAAGAAATTCAACTTAAGTCTCTAGAAAAGGGGGCTGTATAATTTACCCCTTTCTAAAAAGGAATGCTGGCAATAATTATTTCAAAACAGTAAACAGAAACTAGGACATGCTGCTGATTGCCATTGTATATTGAGTAGGAGAGAGATAAACATGTTTTCCTTCTTTTAATTTCTTTTCATTAAGGCATTATTTCTTTAAAATAACAAACTAATATTGAAAGACACCATTTGCTAGGCCGATCACTTTAGAGAAAAGGTTTGGAAAAGAAGTAAGCTTCAGGGGTCTCCCTGGTGGTGCAAGGGGTTAAGACGCAACCTGTGAAGCTGTCCACAGCCTCTGCAGCACGAGCTTGCTCCCTGGCCAGGGAGCTACCCACATGGCTCAGCAGACCTCTCCTGACTCTCCCGCTGCTCCCCTCAGCAGTGTACTTCAGTCAGTCTGCCTGTTCTGTTCCCCACTCTGTCTCTGGTGAATCCTCTCATCCCCCACATCTCTGGCCTGTACCACAGTTCTTGTATGCATAAATAAATAAATCTTTAAAAAAAGAAGCTTCAAAGTGCAGGTTGGCCCCCACAAGCCTTTTTGTCACCCTCTACCTATTCTGACACTTTTGCCATCACCAGAGTTTTCCTTAGGCTTCCCCCAGAATAAAAGTTGCCCTTTCCTCAAGGGCCTCCCCAGCCCAGAAACCCCATCTCTTCTGTTCCTCTTGTAGGGAGCTGTGGGGTGACCCCTTTGAGTTCCGCCCGGAGAGATTCCTCACTGCCAGCGGCACCGCCATCAACAAGACCATGAGCGAGAAGGTGATGCTGTTTGGCATGGGCAAGCGCCGGTGCATAGGGGAGGTCCTGGCCAAGTGGGAGGTCTTCCTCTTCCTGGCCATCCTGCTGCAGCGGCTGGAGTTCAGCTTGCCCCCAGGCGTGAAGGTGGACCTCACGCCCACCTACGGGCTGACCATGAAGCACGCCCGCTGCGAGCACTTCCAGGCGCGGCTGCGCTTCTCCATCAAGTAAAGAGGCACCGCCTGCCATGGCAGAGGGAGGGGTGGGGTCACCCCTGGAACCTCAGTTCTTGCTTTGTTCTTTCTTTATAACAACTTCACTGAGATGTAATTCACATGACATATAATTCACCTCCTTAAAGCATATAATCCAGAGTTGTGCTCCCACACCACAGTTGTAGAACCTTCTCATCACCAGGGAAAGAAACTTTATACTCATTAACAGCCTCTCTGCATTTCCCCCAACCCACCTCCCTGGCTCCAGGAGCCCCATGCAACCGCTGATCTACTTTCTGTCTCTCTGGATTTGCCCACTCTGGGCATTTCATATAAATGCAGTTATCCAATCGGAGTTCTTTTGTGACTGGCTTCTTCACTTAGCATCTGGTTTGCAGGCTCCTCCAAGTGGCAGCGCAAGTCAGCAAGCCCTGGCTTCTTGAGTCCTGAGAGTAGGCTGCCTCTGTTCCCTCTGTCATTAGGTGCATCATGCCCTTTCCCTGCATGATCCAAGTACATGAACACTTACAGGAAACAGGTCAATTGCAGATGGATGAATGAGGATCCCATCCTCAAATGATAGATCATTGGATTCTTTTTTATTTTAAGATTTTATTTATTTATGCAAGAACTGGGGTATAAGTCAGAGGCGTGGGAGGGTGAGAGGATTCACCAGATCCAGAGCGGGGAGCAGAACAGGCAGACTGACAAAGTACACGGCTGAGGGGAGCAGAGGGTGTGGCAGGAGAGGTCTGCCGAGCCATGTGGGTATCTCCCTGGCCGGCCGGGAATTGAACCTGCGCTGCAGAGGCTGCGGACAGCTTCACAGCAATGCAATCAACCCGCTGAGCCACCAGGGAGGCCCAGAACATTGGATTCTTACGAGGTTCTGAGTTGTTTATCCACAGCTGGAGGGATGATAAGCTCCCCAGAAATGCTTGGGTGACCTGCAAAATGCCCAGGTCTCACCCAAGGACACTATCAAAAGAGTAAAATAAGCCACAAAATGTAAGGAAATATTTGTAAGCCACAAAATTTATAAGGAATTCCTACAATTCAACAAAAAAAATTCAAAAACAGTCAAAGAACTTGGATGAATGGTACATTAAAGAAGATACACACATAGTCAATTAGTACACAAAAAGATGATCAACATTAGGGAAATACAAATCAAAACCACAATGAACTTACCACCTTATACCTGCTGGAATGGTTACAATTAAAAAATGAAAAATAATATATGTTGCTGAACATGTGGAGAAATTATACCCCTTATGCCTTACTGGTGGAAATATGAAATGGAAAAGTCCCAGTGGAACATGATTTGGTGGTTCTTTACAAAGTTAAACATTGACTCACATATGATCCAACAATTCAACTCCTAGGTATATACCCAAAAGAACTAAAAATGGGTGTTCAAAAAAAATGTGTACAGGAATATTCAAAGCTGCAATATTCTCAACAGTTCAAAGGTGGCAACAACCCTTGTCCATCAGCAGATGAGTGGAGAAACAAATGTGGCACAGTCACACGAGGGAATATTATTTGGCCATGAAAATGATGTGACATCATGATGCACGCTACCACATGGAAAACCTTGCAAACATTATGCTAGGTGAAATAAGCCATATAAAAATGGACAAACGTGGGCCTCCCCTGGTGGCGCAGTGGTTGAGCGCTGGGCTGCAAATCTGCCCGCAGCCTCTGTAGCGCCAGTTCAATCCCTGGCCAGCCGGCGAGGGTCCCATATGGCTCGCAGACCTCTCCTGCCGCCCGCTGCTCCCCTCAGCAGTGTACTTCCTCAGTCTGCCTGTTCTGCTCCCCACTCTGGCTCTGGTGAATTCTCTCACCCTCCCACGCTTCTGACTGTACCCAATGCTTGTAGAAATAAATAAATAAATCTTTAAAAAAAAAATGGACTAACATTGTATGATTCCATTATATGAGGTACCTAGAATAGGCAATTTCAGAGAGAGAGAAAGCATAAAAGAGGTACCCGGGGCTGGGGTGGTGTGGAAGGGAGGATGGGGGAAATAGGGAGGTTTTGTTTAATGAGTACAGAGTTTCTGTTTGGAATGCTGAAAAAGTTCTAGGAATGGATAGTGCCGCTGGTTGGCAGCATTGTGACTACTTAACACCGCTGAATTATACGCTTTAAATGGTTGAAATGGGGCCTCCCCGGTGGCGCAGCGGTTGAGCGCTGGGTTGCGAAGCTGCCCGCAGCCTCTGCAGCGCCGGTTCGATCCCCGGCTGCTCCCCGGCCACCGGAGGAGGGTCCCGCATGGCACGCAGACCTCTCCTGCCGCCCACTGCTCCCCTCAGCAGTGTACTTCGGTCCTTCTGCCTGCTCTGCTCCCCGCTCTGGCTCTGGTGAATTCTCCCACCCTCCCGCGCTTCTGACTGTACCCAGTGCATGTATGAACAGGACAAACAGACAAACAAATAAATAAGTAAAAACATGCGTCTATATAAAAAAAAAATAAAATAAAATAAAAAAATGGTTGAAATGAAGACTTGTTAAGTATGTTTTACCACAAGTAAAACAACATAAACAATGGGCAAGTAACACAATAAAGTATTGTGTGCAATCAAACAAAAATAGCTATCAACCCCACAAAAGACATGGAAGAGCGTTAAATGTATATTGCCAAATGCAAAACGCAATCTGAAAGGATTACATACTTTATGATTCCTGCTCTATGCCATCCTGGAAAAGGCAAAGCTATGGAGACAGTGAAAAGATCAGCGGTTGCCAGGAGCTGGGGGGAGGGATGTGGAGGAGAGAAGAAGGAACAGATGGAGAGCTGTGGATTTTTAGGGCAGTGAAACTCTTCTGTATGACAGCGGATGTATGTCATTATACATTTGTCAAAACCCACGGAACATACCGCACTCTTGGAAACCATGGATTCCGTTACCAAGAATGCATTAATATTGATTCAACCTATGCAAGATGTTAATCATGGGGGACAGTGGGCGCAGGGAGGGCGTTCTGCAGTCTGCTTATGTTCATGACCTAAAACTCACTTCCACTCACAGGCCCCTGTTCTGGCTCTGATGCCCCCAAATTTCACCTCCAGTGTTTTCACCCGAAAGGCAGTTGGCTTCGTTGATCTCAGAGTAGCCCTGGGTCCGAAGTACATAAGTTTGCTTTGCTCTGTGCAAAGTGAGAGGGCTGTTCGTGCTGCTTTATCAGCCGTGAGCAACAGAGACAGGAAAAGGGCGCTTGAGCATGTGAGGTATGGGCCTCGTGCCCCCTCCAACACACACCTGAGCTGACCCTGCCTCCTGGATTTCCCTCCAATCGAAGGCGCTCTCCAAGGACATACCTGTGTGTTTGAAGGAACCAACTGGTTATAGGGACCCACAGATATGGGGGGGCAGAGGAAGGACAATGATATGGAATCCTCAGGAAGGGTCCTGGAAGGAGGTGGAAGAGAATGACACAGAAAGAGCCTGTCCTGTCTATCACAACCTCCTGCTTTCTGGAATGGGCTCTCCCAGCCATGTGACTCAGCAAAGAGAATCCCCTTCTCCTGCTGCCTTTATTGGTGTAAGGAGATGTAGTCTGGAGGAAATAGCTCCTCCTAGTTCAAATGGAAATTTTAAGAGGAAGGTGATGCAAATGGTGACCCACCCGGAGTGTCATAGCCCTAGGAGTGAGTTTACAATGTGTTGACCCTGCAGCCTCCCCCTCCAAGTCACCCAGGCACAAGGCACTGGGCCTCACCTCCTACCATTTCTGAGTAGTAACCACAAGACAATTAACCAAAGACAACGGATTCAGCTGTTTTGCTTGATCAACTAGTGCTGCTGGCTGATATCTGCGTTCTTGCTGGAGTATTCCTTCAATTTGTTTCGGCTTTCTTTATTACTAACTGAGACTCAGCTCTTCCTGTTCTGCACATCACCATTCCCTGAGAGGAGATGAAAATGAACCAAACTTTCATTTATTTCCAAAGTGTTCACCCAGTGACATGGTTACCCCAACATTTGGGAAATAATCATGGCTCCCTGTGGCTTTGAAGAAAATAATAAATTTAAGTAAAATCAGCAGGAATCTGTGCTAAATTCCTGGAGGGAGCAGCGCATCACCTGACGTGCTTCTGTCTACGTCCATGCCCATGCCCTTCCTCAAACCCAGAGCAAACTCTTCCAGGAACCGTGACTGAGAAAAAATGCAGGTCTCCTGTGTAGGGCAGGGAGAAGGGGAGACACAGCTGTGCTCCAGGGACCCCCAGTTCAAGCGGAAGACAGAGTCCTGGCCTGGAAACCTGAAACTGAACAGGACATGACGCTGTCCTGGGCATCGCAGGCTGAGCGGGAGACACAGCCCTCACCGGGACTAAGTAAGAGGAGGGACAGACCCCTCCAGTCTGAGGGGTATATGAGCCTCCAAGTCCCCAGTCTGAGGGGGATGCAACCGAGCCCTGGCAGCTCAAGAAACACCATCCCGTCTGAAAGAGGAGGCATGGACTCGCTCCAGGAACTCCAGCCTGGAAGGACAAGGTTCTATGCTTCCGAGCCCCTAAGGAGTGGACAGCTCCATCAGTGCACCCTGGTGGCTCAGAGAAAGATACCCGACACACAGAGATGGCTGTATTTTTGTCAATCCAAGATTCAGTCGAGGCCCAGCTCCCTGGGGAGTTCCAGGCCCAGAGGTCACCCAACGGTCAGTGCCCCGTGTAACCCCCAAGGTCAGAAGTTGGCCTGAGCTTCTCACGCACACCTGGCCAATCTTTAACTCACCCTGGATGGCCCGGGGCTCCCCTCTGACCAGAGTCTAGTAGGAGGAATTGGACGTGGAGACTTTGCTCCCCCTTCCCGCTGGCCATTCCAGGCCCCATGGCAGGCTGGAGGCAGACGGAGTCAGCTCTGTCCTGCCCCTTCCTGGCCACACCTCACGTCAGGCTGTCTCACAAGCCTAGGAGGAGGCATCACCGTGTCTCCTTAGACAAGGAACCCGGGCTCAGAAAGCACAAGCTGGGAATTGGTGGGGCAAGACTGGGGCTGGCC